AAATGAATTTCATTTTTAATAAAATTTGATGATTTTAGTATATTTTGCACCTAAAATATCAACAGGACAATTGCTTTCCCGGGACAATCGCTTTCCCCGACTAGGAACTAGTCGGCCACCAACGAGAGCCGACTATTACTGAAAAGTGATATCGAAATCATTAGATTTCGATCGGTGATAGTGCGTGGTCCAGGAGACGTCTCCGCTACGCTGTGGGAAAGATCAATGTCCGCGGCCACTTCTGCATACCATGTCGTTGCGAGTGTAACCTTATATGCGCTGGCAGCTGCATCACATGAAAGCCACCATAATCTCTGAATGTCACTGGATGTCACTGTTGACGATTACCCGGACAAATTGGTATTGGATGAGTCCTAGTCAGCTCATGAAAGTGTCACCGTAGCACAACGTTTCCCAAGCTCGCGATTAACGGGTATTAAAATCTTCGGATCAATCTTGTCTCCATCTTGTCAATATGATACCGTAACGAGAACGATGAGGCTCAATGATGAATGATCTCGACGTGGGGGAAACGAAACGTCTGAAGAGTACCTATATTATATATGCACAATGAATGTTCATAAGAGTGTGCTTACTTAATCGGCGTATTTTTCAATTAATGACAGATCACGTGCGTACTGTCGCGTCCGATAACAGATAACAGACAAGAAACGCGAGCGCGAATTGACGCGTTGAGGCAACCATGGCCTGCCCATCTTCAATATAACAAAATACATTATAATCCAGACAACGACGGTACAAACTCGAAGAAAATGCCTCCAAAGCAGAACTATAGACCAAAAGGTAGTGCGCCTGTAAATCGAACATACAAAGCAGTCGAACCATTATATCAAACTACATTTCCAGAAACGAAGAAGCGTGTAACTAGGAACTATGGCAAGAAATCTAAGCTGAAGCTCGAGGATCAGGACACACTTACGCAGATGGATTGGATAAAAATGCATGAAAGAGAAGAACTGGAAAAACAAATGGAGGATGATATTGAAGATAGTGAAGGAGATTATGTGGAAGAAGAATCGAAACGAAGAACGAAACGACGGAGGACGATGGGCGATGAACAGGAGGCAAAGAAGAAGAAAGGATCGAAAAACAGACGGAAGACTCTAGGAGAGGAAGGCAAGACACCAAGTTTCTCGACGCAGACGATTACCCAACTTGATTATTGGCCACTTTCCGGAGCACGAGAACCAGAAGAACCAGGAGACGATCCATCAATTTATGATGTCCCAGTATCCAGCTCTCCAGCATTTCAACCACTTCGACGAAGTCCGCGAAAGTTTTCCAAACCTGTTACTTCTGATCCAGCTCAGTTGATGCCTCCACCACAAACGCCAAGACATAGGAAGATTCTTGAAATTCCATCATCACAATCACCGGCTACTCCAACGTCAAGTCAATTTGGAGGTTCCTCACGGAAGCGGTCGCCACTCAAAGAGCAATCTATAAACGTCATAGTACCCTTCTCCCTACGATCAAATATAATCACGAGTGCCGAAAAGATACCAAAATTGAAAATTGAGGATACTTTTGAGACTGGGACAGATGAAAGTCAAGTTCTCCGAACCCCCTCAAAGCATTCGAGTCCGGCCAAAACGGTACGCTTTGCTATACCAGATTCTAGTCAGGAATCTTTTGCGGAGGAGACTCCCATAAAAGAAGAGCATGCCACTCAGCGTGACTTCTCGCCATCGCCTACCCGCCGGTTGGGGACCCCTGCCCCCAAGAATATAAAATTCGAAATTCTGGATTCGGATGCGGAGGACGAAGAAGATGAGGAATCCCAAGTTGTGACGGACACCCCGCCAGGAACTATCCCTGGCTATGAAGGTCTCACGAATGAAGGAGACACGGTTGAAAACACAGCTAGGACGCCAGAGCAGGACGATGATCGTCCAACGGATGATACTATTAGACAAACAGAAGGGGACGCTGAGGAGGAGTCCGAACTTCCGGAAACATTTTATGGGGATATAGGAGCGGACACACAATTCCAGGCTGAGCGGATCATGACTTCGTCGAGTTTAAGTGAGGCGGGAACTGTATCTTACGGTAGTACCCAGTTACCACAAACCCAATATGCCATTACCCAGCACACACAAACTCAATACACCCAAAAGCAGACCCAATTTGGTAAAAGTCAATATCCTGAGAGCCAACGCCTCTCCACACAACATCTGGATGCCATGGCACCGCGATCGGATTCTTCTGATGTGTTCGTCTCTATATATCCAACCCACGTGGAAAACATAATCTCCCGTGAGAAGAACCACGAGTTTCGTTCTTATAGTTTTCCAGCTACTGTGTCCCGTATTTGGATTTACCAAATCAGACCTCTATCGACTCTTACTCATATGGCCGTTATTGGCCCGCCCAAAGCACCTGGAGAGATAACGAATCTTGATGGGCTTGGTAACAGTGAGTTCAATAAGGGTGAGAAACGTTCCAAGTTTGCGTATGAAATCCTAGAACTATATGCGCTCGCAAATCCGATGACCTTGGAAGAATTGAAGAGTCGACAATGGTTCAAGGCTGCTCCACAGAAATATAACAAGGTCCCACCCGCAGTCTTAGGAGAACTGATTGCGAATTTATTACCACCTCTTTTCACACAATCTTCTTCGGCTGTCGAGAATATACATCCCGCATCCACACTGCACAAGAAATCAAGCACGAGCACTGAATCTCAAGAGGTACAAGATCAGATCACGAATAACATTCAACAATTCTCACACACGCAAGTGCCCTCTTCCTCGCCCCCTTCGTCGCCACCTTCTTCACCCCCAATCGCAACGCAAATTCCTGTGATTCACGTACCATCTTCACAACGTCAGTTGGTGAGGCTATCACAAGCTTCGACGGTTGATTATACACAAACTCAAACACCTGCTACTCCACATCGTCTACGAAATGGACGAAAGGAAACTCCCATTCCAGAGATAATTCCGGAGTCACCGGCAAAATCTGTTCCTTCTTCCTCGCGTGGTAGTAGTCCGGTGCAGATATTGACACCTATTGTGCCGAGAAGAGGGGAGAGAAGGGTTATTGAGATTGAAAGTCAGAGTGATGATGAGGATGACTTAGACGAGGATAGTTTGCCTGTTGTAGCGACGAGGAGAGAGCGTGTGGTTCTTGAGATTGAGAGTCAGATCGAGGATGAGAATGAAGATGAACGTGAAGAAAACAATGAAAAAGAAGACGGCCACGATATAGAAGACGAAGAAAACGAAGACGAACGCATTCAAGATAACGACCCAATAGAAGAAGAGGGTGAACAAGAATCACACCACCCCTCTTCAACGCCCGCCCCTTACTCTCTAATTCGTTCGTCACAACTCATGTCCCGAAGCCAAATGATGCGCGAACAAGATAGTTTGATAGATTGGGAGATTGTGGGACCGCCACCGCCACCAACAGATGTTGCTCCAAAAGCTGCTGTGCGATGGGTAGAAATGGTGTCATCTTGCATGCCAGTGCCCCCGGATCCGGATGATGATGAATTGTGAGTCAAGAAGATGGCACACGGCCTGGGACGAGACGGAGAGCTGAACAAGGAGTTTATTTTGGCGGAGTATCAATATCAAGAGGGTGTTTATCATGAGAGCATGGAATTTCCGGTAGAGCGAGAGTGATTCATGTTAATTAGAGTTGTACTTCTTAATGCCCACTATATATGCAATGTCTCCTAAATGTTTTTTATAACAAGGTGCAAGTAACTGAACTCGAGCGATTTCATCGAGAGGAATAATTCAATTGCACTATGATAGAAACAAGCTGAAGCGTAACCGATATCATAAATGGGCTTTCTTTTTTAAGTAGAGTAGAGTCGTGATGGTCACCTTTCACAATTGTTGATCAAGAATATCAATGTGATGATTGTGACACGTCCAGAATATGACCTGTGGACGAAAGATTGCACAATAACGATCAAAGAAAATAGATGTACGAATTTAATCGTCTATCTAATAAGTTGCGAATTGCAGAGAATGTGTGTGTATGGCTTAGGGGAGAAGCTTCACAAGGGCCAAAACATAAAAGTGGGTCGGTCTCGCGATAACTTCAAATATTCCTAAAATGACATGAGCAAAATCAATCCATTGTGAATTCCTGTACATTAGTTAGTTACCACTGTCGAAAAAATCCAAAAACCGAAAAGAACGATAAAAAAGGCAAAAGTTGAAACTCAAACCTCTTCCACACTCCAAACCACACAACGAATGTAATCCTGCACCGCCACCCCACGGTGAAGAGCTCTCTGCAGAGTGAAACCTCCCTCAAGAAATCATCTTCATTGCTTAGGACAACCGCAGCATCGTGTGTTTCCTGCACGAGTGGGTTGCCACCGTGGTGTTCGGACTGGGCACTGTTGGTGGCCTTCAATCGTTAGATTGAAGAATTTGGAGAGAAGGAAGAGGGAACGTGAGCTCGCCTTAACCTTATGACCGTTACAGTCGAGAAAGAAACGCAAATTTTAAATATATATATGATGTGCAAATTCTCGATAGTATGATTGGTAGTCTGTGTGGGGCGAGTTCAGGACCTCCTCGGAGTAGACATCAGATAAGGAGATAAGGTATGAAAGCATGATTTCGTGATTGGGAATCGCGTTTTCTATTTGGGAAGGACGACTACCATATCAGCTGGACCTAGTAGATATTTTATTTATGCATATCTAGTATCTTGGGACCGTGTTGTCTTCCGTGGCATATGAGTTGAGATTGAGATTGAGTTCAGCATACAACTCCTTCTTGTGCGATGAAAAATTGGAAGTTCAGGAATGGAATGAAATCTCAGAGACGATTAAAAGACCAAGGTATTTATGATGAGTGAATGTGTAATTTTGTAAGTATTTACGTTGTAGAAATCCTTCAGGACTTTCACAAATGACCAATCATGAATGCAATCTATTCCAGGTATATGGATGTTGAGAGTTTGTTTGATATTCTGCTATCGTATGATACTACCCGCAAATACCTACGTACTCAACCCTCCAACAGCTTCGCCTCTTCCCCGTCACCTATGAGTTTCTTCAACGCCTCCACGGTTATTTCTAGAACCTGCTGACTCCTCGACTTCTTCAAACATTCTTTCAGACATTCCAATCCCGCATTCTCCTTCACCATTTCCCTTCCCTTTTCCCCAGCTTTATTCGGTGCCGTCAGTATATTAAGAATGCAAACTGCACCTCTATGTCTAATTTCCTCTTCTTCTTCTGTGCACAGAGCTAGAAGAAGGTTGACTCCTCTTTCTCTGTCAAGGATAGCTGTTACGGCAGTATCCCATTCCGTGAGACTTGCTAATGCTCCACCTGCTGCTCTTCGGGTGGCGAAATCATCGGCATCCGTTAAGGCCAAGAGGATATGTGTACGCTGTGAAGCTTGTTTACTCCCATCTGCGAATTTCGCAACGCCTTCTGGTGATTGCATGAGGTTACAGATAAGCTCTACTGTTGCACGAGTTACCATAGTATTATTGGAAAGAAGCAATTCTTCAATTTGAGACCAAGCCAGTCGAATGATAGGGTTACGAGCTGAATCATCTGTAGAAGCGAGGTTTGTTAAGGCCAGGAGAGCTTCGAATACAGGTAGGAGATCGCGGTGTTCAACTGTTGGGTCATCTTCTAGAAGAAGAAGAAGAGGTTTAATAGCTGAGACAAGTGATAAAGGATTGGTACCGCCAAATACATGTTGTGGATTGGTGGATATGAGAACGCGGGCAAGGGCATGAGCTGTGGTTCTTCGAGCCGGTATATTATCCGAGGGAAAAACAGAATCCGCGTGTAATAAGAGCTTGATGGCACCTTGTTGGGCCATTTGTCCTCGAATTTTAGTTATCTTGGAAAGTGAGAAAATGATGGCTGTGACAAGTGTGAGAGATGCTATCGATCCATGCTGACTATGGGTGACAAGAACAGGTATAACACCAGCGTCGAATACGTTTTGACATCTCTTCGTAACGTGATCATCGTCGTTGAGAGGATCTGGTTTGAGGGAGGATTTTGACGCATTAGCATAAGCCTTCAATTGGCCTAGCTTTTTTTGTTCTTCTGTCAAGGGAGGTTGGTATGCTGTAAGATTGGCCAAAATAGTGAGAGATCCATAAGTTGCCGGTGATTTGGGCGGAGCGCCCTTCATAGTTTTGACAAGATTGGCCAGAAACTTCTTATCTGAAGCAAGCTTCTCCTTAACTTTTGATTGCAGCGACGCATAAGCGAGACCTTCAATCGAACTTTGTTGAGATGTGTCTGTGGAAAGCATGTTTTTAAACATGTCTGAAAGGTCTTCAATAGTTGTACTTCCAGAAATTTCTCCTTCCCCAGATTCAGCAGTTGGTGCTGAAGGGATAGCCTTCACTTCTGCGGTCAGTCAGAACAATTGGTTGAAGAGGGTTACGTTAGATATGAAAGTGTGTAAATGGATAACGCAGGTAAAATCATAAGAGGCGTACCTGAATCTTGGCCAAGACAACAGCTGCGAGATTCCTCACTTGCTCGGAATGTATTCGCTGTTGTATAGAGCCATCTTCTGCATTGCTATCGATAGGTGTTGTAGAAATTTCAGAAATTTTGGGTGGAGTATTATTGACGATCTCTTCGAGCCATTTCGTACAATGCTTCTGGATGGCTTCTCGGCAAGGGGTGTTCATACAAGCAGCACTAAGCAACTCTAGAGCAGCCTGTTCAACCTTTCGACTTTTCCATTTCCTCTTCATCAAGGTACCAAGGCTAGGAATGAAACCTTCACTTAGGAAAAATGAGGAAATGACATCTGGAACCACAGGAAATATCGATGCTGCAACAGAGAAGGCAAGGATCAGATCGTCATATGTGCCTTTGCCAACTCGATCGTAGAAGAAATGAGAAAGATAGTCAACACCTTGTTGTTCCGAAGCTTTGAGGTATGCAGAAGTGGTCAAAGTCGCGTGACCTCGGACCGAAGGAGACTGTCTCATATCAAGATAACCCAAGATAGTTTCTAGGATATCTTGATCGATCAATTGGAAAAGAGGTTTGTGTGGCTCCTTCGATCTTGTTTCTTCGTTGGAATCATCAGTAAGAATTTTGGTGAGAGTGTTCAATTCCTTGCAAGTATCCTCATCTTCTTGTCCACCTTCTGTCAAACGGGCAAGTAAGAGAAGTGTTTGGTCTTCAAGAGAATCATTTGCGGCGGTTGTAGCATGAGGAACACTTGGATCAGTGCCTCTTCTTTCGAAGGATTGATCAAATGAATTCGACATGATGAAGAAGTATCAAATATAATTAAAGTCTGATGGAAACGAAATCATGAATGGGAAGATCAAGATGAAGATGAGGGGAAAGCTCCAAATTATACGAAGTACGAGCAAATGCCCCTCCCTTGTGAAACCACAAGCTTAACAGCCCCACATTTCTGAGTAAGTACCGAAGATAAACGGTCGCGTCACATGATCAGGCGACAGCAAGGGTGACCGTACCCGCATTCCGCATTATACCCTTGATGAAGATCATCTAGCCTTGCTCATAATTCCATCAATTCTCTCAGCCTTTAGGGAAATTAATATCAATCGCGATCATACGGAATTTCTGAGCATCTAGGAAAGGGAATTAACCTCTTGGGCTGTAGTAGAAACGCAAGTCACATATAAAGTCGGAAAAACGAATAGATCCTTTGAACTTCGAACCTATCAGGCTGTCATGCCTGCAAGGCTTTCACCATGGATGGTATAGATGGTACAGATCATTTCACAGGAGGCGTCAAAGGTATGATCGAACAATTATTGCGGCAATCGCATGTCATCTTAATACAGAAACAGGTCCTTCTCCTTCATGCCTCGTCATCATCCTAGATACCAATCCGCACGCGTGGGAAATTCTCTCATCGACTCTTCCTCTCTCGAAAGCGATAGCCAATCTCCTCGTTTTCGTAAACGCACATCTCGCTGTCAACAATGCCAATCAAGTAGCCATAATAGCTAGCCATTGTCATCGTGCAGTATGGCTTTACCCAGCGCCGTCTTCTGCGTCGGAAGATACAGAAATGGGAGGCTCGACTACCCACGGCCCGCCGGATGACGCAAATAAATACAGGCAATTCGCACTCATCGAGAATACCCTCCTAAACTCTGTACGAAATTTGATAGATAGTACAACCGAGCAAGAAGTATCTACTACAACCACCACCCAAATGGCCGGTGCCCTCACCCTCGCCCTCTCATATATAAATAAACAACTATCAGCCTACAGCGATGTCTCAGCTGCTGACTCTAAACCCACTACCTCCGATGTCACCCCCTCCGATTCTACCACCGGGTTGCAATCGCGAATTCTCGTTCTCTCAGTGTCCGGTGATCTCGCACATCAATATATCCCAATCATGAACACCACATTCGCTGCACAGCGCATGCGGATTCCAATCGATATATTGAAACTCGCGGGTGACACTGTATTTCTACAACAAGCTAGTGATACTACTAGGGGGATATATGTGCATTTGAAAAATCCACAAGGATTATTACAATATCTAATGATGGCGTTCTTGCCCGATCAAACAAGTCGAAAAGATTTAATAGCGCCAACGCAGGAAGTGGTAGATTTCAGAGCTGCGTGCTTTTGTCATAGGAAGGTGGTGGATGTGGGTTTTGTATGCAGTATATGTTTGAGCAGTATATCTCCCCCTCCGTTCTCCCTTTTATCAATACAATGGATGCGACTAATCTCTCTCTCTCCAATTTAGTCTTCTGCTCGCCCCCCGAAGGCGCCATCTGCCTAACATGTTCCACGCACCTCTCCCTCGGAAATTACGGTGCTAAACCTGCCGTTGTTCCACGCAAAAAGAAGAAGAAGCGCAAGATTAATGGTACGGGTGTTGAAACGGGTAGTGCCAGGGGTACTCCTGCGCCAGGGGAGTAAATATTTGAGCTCCCTAGCGGTGTGATCATCAATCAAATAGACGGGCACTTACATGAACAGGACGGCCGTGGAGATTCTCCACTTTGGTGACTCGGTCGAATCTAGGATCGTTGTTCCAGGGAATCTGAGAGAGTAGGGGGTGGAAATTGCACATAGTGGCACGGGGACGGCAAGCCTGAAGTTTTGGGGATATCAGCGTAAGGAAGATAAAAGGTGATCATCCTGGAGTTTTGCGTCAAATATGTGCCCAAGGAACACAACATGAAGTTTAAATTGATGGAACAATGGCGTGGGAAAACGGTGGTATGATATATTGTCCAATAGTTCCCAGAATACTGTTTAAAGTTGCAGTTAGGTGAGGAGGATGAAAACATTCAGAGAATGAGCTGTATTTGAGGTTTATAAAATAATGTCATATCACATGAGCAAAAGCATGAGCGAGCTCTTTTATAAAATTATCAAAACCTATACACAAATATCCAGAACACCATCACACTTGAATTTTATTGCGGCAGATCTCACTTAAAGTCAAGAGTAACTTTAGGTTCTATTAGGTTATCAAATATCGCCTTTTAACGGCGTAGCAATAAAGCATAAGCAATACTATCATCTCTATCCATCTTTCCCATTCCCTCCTATCACAACCCATCTGATTTCCAAGCGGAAAGTGTTTCTAGGTTAACGGTAATATGATGTTTCGTTCATTTTAGCAATGGTTCCTCCCCATCCTGTTCCTTCGATTCCATTCTTCAACGCTACCTATTTTGTTGGTCATAATCATAAAAATCATAAGGTCCCTTTCTCCGTAAGCAATAATGCATTCTCTCCAAAACAACGCCAGTAAAAATGATAAGGGATCGATGAACCAAGTAGCCACACGCATGTACCAAGCTCGACACTTTAGAGTAGAAGGTTGGTAATTCGTGCGAGGCGTGCCGCTGGAAGTCATTCTTTGTCGATCTTAACCTTTCGACCTCCTCTAACAACATTTCCATGATCTCCAAGACGAGACATAACACACTTGGCATCTTTTTCGTTTGAAGCATAAGATGCCAAGGCAAATGAGTCGGTGTTATGAGCGAAGTGAAGGAAATATCCATATTGTGTCTTTTTGACCGCCATAACACCGATTGCGCCTGCTGAGTTACTTCCACTGACACCAGGATGACCCATAAAATCTGCTTGGACAAATGACTCCATGGCTTCGTCTTCATTAGCTTCCATATCCTGGCCACCACGAGCTCGTCTGGTGTTGTGGTAGAGTCTGTCTGCACATTTTTGCGAAGCCATGGTAGTCGCCATATGCTCTCCTGTGCCACTGGTAACTGCGGCAACTGATACTTGATCTTCATCTCTCTCATCGCAAGGAACCACGGCTGTACCAATACCCACAAGAGCTGCAGGTCCAACGCGGCCACGATGTTTCATCCCAATTCCACCAGATGAAGATGCTGCAGCAATACGGCCATACATATCGATGGCGATAGCTCCAACGGTATCAGTAATTAAGTCCACGTCAGCCTTCTTGGGAGTAAGAGGTTCTGGAGTAGACTCATGTGGGCACTCGATTGTTCCTTCTTGGGCTAGATCCAGTGAAGCAGAATGCATTTCAATAACCTTTTCCTGGTCTTTTGGAGAGAGATGACCATCTGTACTAGATGGCCTATCGATTGTGGATTGAGCAGTGCTTGCAGATATACCTGGCTCGCTGGAAACACCACTGGTAGTAACACTTGGAGATAGAAGAGATTGAACACGCCCCGGACTGCCATCACTGAGTGCTGCTAGTCGTGCTCGTTTCGCGGGAGTTGTTCCGACTGGAGAGCGAGAAGCTCCTCGGCCTGGCGCATTCATCTGAAAATATCCGCGGCTCGGAGGAGTACCAGGACGTGGAGAGTATGGACCAGATTCCTGAGGGCATGCTCGACCTGGGGATGTTGTTGAAGGAGAATCAGGTTGCCCTTCATTCCATGTACCATTCATAAGCGCGTTGGTGTGGTCCCGACGCTGTTTTGCTCTTACACGTTCTTCGTATTCCCGAGCGGCAGCCTCGTCATCAGCAGCTTGACTGCTGTTAGTACTTGATGGTGTCATACGACCTTGTCCCTCGGCACGACGTAAATCATCACGCCAACGAATATATCTTTCGCGCGCATTCTTAGAGCACATCATATCATGTGGTACAACTGGTATTCCATGCTCCCATGCAAAATCCGTCGCTCCTTGCCCGACAAGAAGGTTGGGTGGGACTCTTCGTAAAGATAATGGTCTACTTGAAGCTTCTAAAATCAATCTGGCCAAACTGACAGGGTTCTTGATTTCTGGGAGCAAAGTGTTGGTCAGTGGATTGACGTGGCAAAATGGCAATTGACTTACGAGCAGTTGCACCACAGGCACCACTTCTACCCAAATGATCTACCACTGTTGCGTCACACTCAACTATACCTTCAATTGATAAGTTACTGCCGTATCCGGCGTTGGTGATTTCCTTATCTTCAAGAACCTTGATCGCAGCTTCGACTGCATCAACGGCTGAACCACCGGCTTTGAGGATTCGCATTGCTGCGCGAGCAGCACTAAATCAGAGTCAGCAAAATTTCACACGCCTCAAACAAACTTTCGAGGCTTCAATTCTTGGTTCAGTCAGCCTACTCATTACAAGCTCCCAAATGAATGTGTTCATTCGTAGTGCTGTGATAACCTGCTCCAGCGTGTACGAATATCGCAGATACACAGGGTTGAGGTTGTGCTGGACGAGGTCTTCTGGTGTCCGCTGATCCATCCATTATTGGATCAAAACTCATGGCAGGCATCCTATTGGTCTGCATGTTTTGGTAAAGAGGAGTTGGAGCCACTAATGGTGGGGATCCTGACCATGGACCTTCACGATCTAAGAATGGGGACGGGATAATTTCGATGTTATATCTTTGAAACTTGCGAAGTGGATTGGAAAGATTAGAGAGTTCGCGACGAAGGTGACGAAAACGCTCTCGCGCAATGTCAAGTTTGTTAGCGAATAGAGATTGCTGAGGTAGAGAAGTGGGTCGTTGCGCGAGTTCAGACATGAAGTCTCTCAATTGAGGGGTAAAGGTGAAACGTTTATATTCAAGTGAATATGAGTATATTGATACTCGAAGATTGTGTCAGGGAGGACGGGACACTAGCAGGAACTTGCAGTTGAGAGAACCGATACGTGAGTAACAACGTGTTCTTATGGTTTTCGCGATGACATCTTGTTTCGAGTTGATGAACTTGAAGGAAAGGACAGGATGGCGAGAACGATATTTGATGAGGGCCGTCTAAGATGTCGTTTCTCTAACTCTGTTTCTGTCGAGGTTGCAATTTATATCAAAAACAATTTGGTTATTGGAACTATACATCAGTCAGCCATTAACTGTCATAGATACTGCTCATTATGGGATATACCATAGAAATATCTCTGATTGCAATGAGTTTCCTTGAATCTACAGGAACAGAAAGCTTTTCTGTCACAAGAGACTTCGGTTAACCGCGAAGATATATTCGGACAGTAGACTCAATATCAGAGATACAAGAGAACGGCTGAGACGTTTGAGATTCAAACAATAATTTAGGTAAAGCTTTACAAAGTATGCTTAGAAAACGAGTGTATGTGAATGCGTGCGTGAAAGAGATTGACGGTGCGATTCCGTAAGAGAAAGAAATGATGGACGCGGTGGTAATGTTTAGAGTTGAGGAGGAAGAAATCTTAGGATGTAGAGTAGAGAAATATGTCTTGTTGACATTGAGATGTGTGCCTAGTACACTATTACATAGTAAGATTGAACAGGCAGTGAGGTTGGAGATGAAAAGGGAAAGAGCTGTTCACTTATAAAGTTAAAGGATAATGATAATGATGATGATAATGAAAATGAAAATGATCTCATTTGATCAAAAGATCCTCAATTCACCAGACAAAATCTCTTCCTTCTCTCAAGAGAAATTAATTCATATTTCTTTCCCCATCCTCCTTGGTTATTCAATTATCTTCTCATACCATGAGGAAGAGCAATGTGACCAGAGTGAAGTCAGGAATATCAATTTTATACTGCATGCACGTGATCCTCATTTTGACCGTACTTGACTGGCTGTCGCTGGCACTGGTGGGGTTAGTTCGTTTAGGTCCGCACCGCCTACACTAGGTATGGGTCGTCATCTTGAAGCTTAGATTCAAACGCCAACGGTCAATACCAGCTGTTAATTATCAGCACAAGTTATTTGCAATCTCTGAAGCTGTCGCATAACTTTCTCATCACTTCTGGGTCTGCATTGCGCAGCTTTATTTCAATATGGCTTCTCACACTCCGGCCGTTGTCATGGACAAGTACGTTCGAGATCCCCACAAGGCATTCTATATCCCCGTGTCCCGAGGAAAGGGATGTTATCTATTTGTACAATTACTGATACTTTAACGATAGCGGTACCGGTTACTCCAAGCTTGGTTTGTTCTCTTCTCCCGAGAAGATAGGCACACAACTAATAATGCCTCAATTATAGGTTTCGCTGGAAATGATTCTCCCTCCTTCGTCTTCCCTACCGCCATAGCGACCAAAAATGCCGCAGGAGCTGGTGCAGGTTCTGGATCTGGACGTCCTGCAGTTGCCAACAAGCCTTCATATCTTACAGGTGGTGCTGGGCCAGGAGGTCATCTTTCAATGAAACGTGGAACTGAAGATTTGGACTTCTTTATCGGAGACGAGGCATTAGCAGCCGCAAGTGGACCAGGTGCGAATAAATTATAGAATATATGGAATTGAAACACGTTCTCATCATTGCAGGTTATGGCATAAACTATCCAATTCGTCACGGACAAATTGACAACTGGGTAAGGAGGTCAAAGGCTATGGTCAAGGCGAGGTGGCTAACATTAAATCTGCAGGATCACATGGAAAGATTCTGGTCCAATTCGATATTCAAATATCTCCGCGTTGAGCCAGAAGATCATTACTTTCTGTTAACAGAACCTGTATGTGCTCGTTTCTCAAGTCCGTATGAAATTTCCACTTACCGATATTTCCCAGCCACTCAATCCACCCGAGAACCGCGAGAATACTGCCGAAATTATGTTCGAATCCTTTAATTGTGCTGGTCTATACATTGCCGTCCAAGCTGTACTCGCATTGGCTGCGTCGTGGACTTCATCCAAAGTTTCTGATCGATCCTTGACTGGAACCGTAATTGATTCTGGAGACGGTGTAACACACGTAATTCCTGTTGCGGAAGGATACGTTATTGGATCATCAATTAAATCAATTCCTATCGCTGGTCGAGACATTACATATTTCATTCAATCCTTACTTCGAGATAGAGGCGAACCGGACTCCTCATTGAAGACTGCCGGTGAAATTAAAGAAAAATATTGTTACGTCTGCCCAGATATTGTCAAGGAATTTGGTCGTTTCGACCGCGACCCTACGAGATTCGAGAAGCATACCGTTACACAGCCCGGCGGGCGTCAAGTAACTGTTGATGTTGGTTACGAAAGGTTCCTTGCACCAGAAATCTTCTTCAACCCAGAAATTCACTCCTCCGATTTCTTGACTCCACTTCCAACAGTGGTCGACGGCGTCATTCAATCTTCGCCTATTGATGTTCGTCGTGGACTGTACAAGAATATTGTCTTGTCTGGAGGAAGTACATTATACAAAGATTTTGGTCGCAGGTTGCAACGTGATATCAAACATTTAGTAGATGACAGAATTAGAGCCAGCGAAGCACGAAGTGGTGGCGCAAGAAGTGGAGGTTTGGAAGTTCAAGTCATTTCCCATAAGAGACAACGACATGGTCCATGGTTCGGTGGTAGTCTTTTGGGTCAGACCCCTGAGTTCAGATCTTATTGTCACACCAAAGCAGGTAAGTTATACTTTTTGTTCTCCTGTGGGTTGAGTACCTTATCCTAATATCAAACAGAATATGATGAGATAGGTCCAAGCATTGTCCGAAGATTCGCTTTGTTGGGAGGACCAGGAGGATCGTAAGGAGTTAGACAAGTGGTTGAAAAGATAGAGCTTTTGAAGGAGTGAAAACTATACATACATTGAAGAGCAAGTGGAGTTTTGGGAGAATGAATGAAGCGATCATTGCGAAATAAGACGTCTCAAGTTACGTAGATTGAGATGTAGTCGATGAAAATTGATTAAATTGTTGCACAATTGACCATTGTTGTGTGATATTCTCTGATCTAACAAGTAATGCGACGTCAACTCCATGTCGCTAATTCTTGGTCAAGATACATGAAGGTCGTGAAGGGATGTATCACAGTGCACATCTCCCGGTGAGCCTAGGTGCCTTCGAGCTGTTCCTTACCCAGCGCCCGGTCTGAGTCTCTTCTTCACGTGACCGTTGTAATTGCGGGGTTGACAATCGTTTGAACTTTACGACGCGACATCAACTCAAAACATAATCACTTCCCCAAACCACATCCATTTACGAAAGTTTTAGCCTGCACATTTGTTAGATATCGCCAAATCGATTGTGACTCTCACAACCAAAGATTGCCTAAACACAGGTTACAATCGCAACTGAATTACAATTGAAAAGACAGTCGCAACCATGGAGACAGACGCATCCAATATCCCGCTTCCTACAAATGAGGATCTTTCACCTACAGAGCAAGATTTATTGGATGAGTATGAGCGCTTGGCAGAGAATATGAAGACTGTTTGTTTCCCCTCCTCTCCCCTCTACGCTCTTCATCTTTCCCCTTTCCCCTCCTTCCCTTTCTCAATCACAATTCTACAATAAGGTTCACAAAGCTTACCAGCGCCCTGAACAGCTTGCGCACACTCTCGAAACTATGTCCAATAATCCCACGGCCTATATCCTCGATAATCTGCGCCAGTTGGAGCGGAAAACAAGTTTGGTTTTTACGTTGTTGAAAGCGAGTGTTTATAGTATTGTGCTGCAGCAGCAGATTAGTGAGGAGAGGAATGATGATGCTGGAGTGGAGGGGAGTGAGGAGGGAGATTATGAATAAAGTGTTAGGAATGGTGGATATCGCTTGGAGGGAGTTGCTTTCTGTACGACTGCATGATTTAGAGGCCGGAGATTAACACTCATTTGGTAAGGGAGTGAGAAGTATTTCTCTTGACCACTGTGGAATTTCGACTAGGACACACCAACTCAAGCTCCGATACTTTCAAGGAATGTGTTGAGGCGGCTCGATTTGTGGGAAACGGGATGGATCACGGAAAGGTAGAATAGGATATGACAGAGGGTAGGTGGGGATGATAGGAGTTTCAGATCAGCCTATGACGGCAAGGTTTACACCGTTGATGGCATGGCAGAGTCTATCATTACGAGATATCACGAATTACAGTTGTCAGATAGAAACTCGGAAGGGAGGAATTGCTTCATCTGTTGTTTAGGAGTTCTGGACTAAGATACCCACACATAACATGTGTAATGCAACTTGCATATCAAAATCTTTTCTTATCTAAGATCTTTTCCCCAATGCAATATCATGAATTCATGCCATGTTTGCTTTTCCATATGCTTTTGTGCTCATTTCCAGCATTACGCCAGTCCATGCAAATGCACATTCATTTTCCGCATCCATCTTGTAGTACTCATACAATATGTAATATACATGTACATATTTCCTCTCTTTAGTTTCAATGTATCCGCCCATCGTATACCCCTTATACCTTTCCTCCATAGTATACCTTCCTCACATCCACAAGTTTCTTTCCTCTTCCCCTGGCAATCTCATCCGGTATCCGTTGTTTCATTAATGCTTGGTAGGTGGCTTTGACAGTATTCATCTTGTTTCTCGAGCGTGGTACTTTGGCTGCCAGGTCATGAATCCCTACTGCCTTTGCCATATCAAAGATAAGTTTTTGACATCGGAGACCGAATCCTATAAGTTAAGAATGAATTAGCTCCTCTTCTTGCCCCGCATTGCCAGGAACTCGATGTGAGCAGAGCGATATAATATTTAAAACATACCTGGAGGTCTTGCCATAAGCTTTACTTCGACCGCACTAACCTTCCCTTCGACATCTCCATAAATCGTTCGTTCCTCATATCTCGGAACTGGTTGCATATTCTTAATAGCCGCAATCTTTGCATTATTGTTCGTATCTTCCGGTTCCTGACCCTTTGCCTCTCCTATACCTAATCTACCTCTTCCATTTCCTGCAATTGCCAATACGTACATACTGTCGATTTTACCCAGACGAGTTTGATTGACAACTCGGTGACTGACCAGGATTTTGGTGTCAAGTTCGAAGATTTCGTTCATGGTGAGTCCAGTCTGGTGGCGCAGTTTCGTGTAAATTCCATCAGGATCCCTAGGGTCAAGATTGTCCTCATCTTCCTCATCCACCTCCCTCGCTATCTCCGCAGCCTGACCCGGGTCCTTTGTAAAATCTCCAGGAACCTGCGGGGCAATCGCAAAAGTACTTGGATCGCCCATTTCCTTCTGCAGCGCCTTCAGCGAATCCAATCTATTCGGCCTGTGTTTCTTTTCCCACTGCGGATCCTCAGGATCTATATCCTCGGGATTCTCCTCCATAACTTTATCCATGTACGCTACGAATTCGTCTCCGATCTTATCCTGATCCAGCGTCCAATTTGGGTCAATTCGATAATCCATGATCTTCTTGTCGATTACCGGCTGCGTCATACTCAAATCATCCATATATTTCAACCTCCCCAAATCCGTCCGTATCACTCCATGACTTTTCAGATCATCTGCATCGACCGATTCCTCCGCAGCCTCAATAGCAGCAATTTGCTCTGGGGTATATCGTTTCCCTAACAGAGCTTTCTCTTTGTCACTGTATCCAGGGTAAAGTTCCTTCGCGGGAGCAGCATCGAGCTCCGACTGTTTTATGCTAGCAAAACGGGCACGACGTCGTGCGGGGAGGGGAGTCGAGGCGTGGAAATTTTGTCGTCGGGTTAGTGGTCGGAGGGAGGGGAGAGGCGCATTGAAGAGGCATCGCGCTGGGCGGGAGACACTCATTGTGAGGTACTTTGGGTGTTGCAGGTTCACTGCACGTCTTTTCGGAGCCCAATTCCTGTATTTCGAGATTCAGTTCGAGATTCATTTGGTGAGAAAATTAGTCGCTCGGACACTTTTTGAGAGTCACGTGAATGGCCCTGCAGGGGTCTTGGAGGGGAGTTTCGTTGACTTCATCCTGGAAAGTTTATACACATTCTTGATTAGCATGTCGCTCTAGTTGATATTCAAAGTTGAATACTACACTGCCATCTGATGATACTGGTAGTCAGGCCATACGGAAGTTTATTCTTCTTTGAATTGGAAATACTGTTCTATATATAACCTCTAGTACTCAGATATTCATCGGTGCATGTAGTTTCGTGCGTGGGGCCACGAGTGATCTCAAGTGGTAGAAACGTACTCCAGCTCTGTCAAGACTTCTCTCAAGACGATTGTCTACATATCGTCTCTTATCCCGTTGAAATCAGAAAAGATTAACTACGTAAATACTTCAAGACTCCCTCCAGTATACCTCACGAAGTTATCGCAGCACATACGTCTCAGTTGTCAACATCACCACCACCACCACCACCACCACATCAAGCCACTTTCCATCACGTCGCAAAGATCATTACAGGTAAAAGTCATATTCAGCATTAATTGCCAATTCATATCCCATATCCCAATCGCTACTTTCAAGTTCAAATCTAGCAAATCCAAATAAAGCCTCGAATCAAAGATTCTCTCCTACTCAGCCTCAGAGAAAAGACAAAAGCAAACGACGAACCAGCCGTGAGGCAAGAAGTATAAGAAAGACCATGCCCATTTGTTTAACCGCATTCTCTTCCTCATGTATTCTTCGTTTTCCACTTCCAAGCTTATACTTATGTCTTATCCGTTTCTTGCCTCCTATCAAGCTACTTTAGGTATTGTGCTTTCAAATTCTTGTCCTTATTCCTCAATGTTTCATCTTTTTTTTGCCCTGGTGTCTATGCTGTCTTGCCTTCATTTTACTCTTCTTCAAGCCCCGTATCATGTCTTTGAACCCCCCTCAATCTGTTCATTGTGCCCTCTCAATTCCTCGATTCCAAATCAATGGAATGTTGTGGTACTTGGCCCTCCTCCCCTGGCAGAAAAAAGACTGTATATAATTGCAAGTGCCAAAAGGGGGGGCCAGGAAGCATCATACCATGCCAGCACCAAACAATTGCAAAAAAAACGCAAATGAAGAAATCATAAGTTTGCAAAAGTAAATATGTATTCAAGGATAGTTCAGAAGTAGATATACAATATTATGAACAAATTTCTCTTTCTCATCAACAAAAAAGCACCACGAATATCCATCAAATCAGTAGAGCCTGTCGCATCTACTATAAAGACTCATAATATCATCATAAGCCTGAGCCAATTTTTATCTTTCTGCTTCTTATGTAATCTTGTTTTTCTTGTTTGTAAATGACAGTCAAGAATGTTATGTGAATAATTTTCCAATCCAGCCCACCTTTTCGTTCATCAAATTAATGTTATGAGAATGTTAAATAGAGGCCGTTATGCGTTTGTTTGCGTTTGAAATCAGAAGGAATGAAAGTCGTCGTTGAAGAAATAATAGAAAGGGTATCGAGATTCGAAGATGAAAAAATTGAAGCAATTTCAACATCCGAGGAAGAATATAAACGAAAGCAGAATAAAAACGCCACACGATGCGAAAGAAATAGAGATGATCAAATCATTCCACCTTCCATAGTCCCTTGATACGCAGCTCGCACTTCCATAGGATGTCTCTCCATCTGCATACCACTCGAAGGAGTAGTTGTAACACTCCTACTAAGTGGGGGTGGTACAGACCAAGTTGGAGGAGGAATACTTTCATATGGACTCCCACCATTCTCGGTTGGACTTTTTGTGACTCCCTTATCAACAATAGGACTCGAGTTATTCCTACCACGGCTAGCGCTTCTCAAACGTTCTGCGGCTCGTGAAAATCGGTTCGACAGTGAGTTGTCCGTCTCTGAACGACCGCGATTATGTGTGTATATGTGGGAGACAGATGATGTGCGGCGACGTTCGAGGGCGGGTGGAATCGGGGGTGGTTCCATTATGGAACCAGAGTTCATTGTTGATGAGGATAAGATGGTGGGAGTTTTGCTCTTGGGAATCATGGGAATTGCTTCGTCGTCCATTACTATTTCGATGACGCCGGAACCGGAAGAGACGCCAGAGATACCAGAGCCTGATGATACACCCGACACCATGGAGTTGGTGTTTGCATTTGGTCTATACAATGGAGCGGGAGGTGGGGGTGGGGGCAGAGCCAAATGCTGTAGTTGCGGAAGAAGAGGAGGAGCTGGTGGGGGTGGGGGTGGTGGAGGAATCAGATCATGGTTTGGATGGCGCATAGGCATTGCTTGATTGGCCTCGATAGTTTCGTCGATTCCAGTCAACACATTCACAGGTCCACTTGCGTAAACCGGACTTCCACTTCTACTTCCGCTCTCACCATGGGGATCTCCGGAGACTTGTCTACGAGAAGATTGAGTGGGTGACATTCTTTCTCTGCTATCGGGTGTACGTCTTGAAGAACTGGATGGAATTGCGGCTTGAAATGCGGGATGTAGTGGTAGACCTGCTGGGATCACATTTGGCTTGTAGAAATTTTCTTCTGGGATCGGAGCTGAGGCAGATCGAGGTGGCATACGGCGAGGTGGTTGAGATGCCTGGTACACAGTTTTCGGAAGAGGCCCAAAGGTATCATGCGGGCTATCAGATGAACTGTTGAAAACTGCTGCGCTCAATGTTGCTGCTGCTTGTGATGGACCCGTATCATATCTGTTCGGAATTTGAGGAACTTGTGGAATACGATCTGCACCATTACCTTCGGGATCATACTTAGGATGACGCATAGCCCTTGGGGTTGCTGGTAAACCAATCTGCACGGATGACTCTGGAGCTGAACCAAAACCACTGTTTGGAGAAGTATTGTTTGGTGTAGTCTGTTGGCTTCTAGGGGCTTGAGGACTTGCTTTGGGAGGCGA